TTTCACAATAGCATCTAAAAAAATGAAATACTTAGGAATCAACCTAACCAAGAATGTAAAAGAACTATATGCTGAAAATTGAACTACTCTAAAAAAGGAGATTGAAGAGGACATTAGAAAATGGAAGGATATTTCTTGCTCTTGGTTAGGAAGAAACAACATTGTGAAAATGGCCATACTCCCAAAACTGTTATACAGATTCAATACAATCCCAATTAAATACCTTTAACATACCTTACAGATCTAGAAAAAATATTTCTAAAATTCATCTGGAAACAGAAGAAACCTAAAATAGCAAAGGTGATTCTGGGAAACAAAGGCAAGACAGGAGGCATCTCAATTCCTGACTTGAAATTATACTACAAAGCCACAGTAATAAAATCAGCATGGAACTGGCAAAGAAATAGACCTGGGAACAATGGAACAGATTAGAAGATACAAACACTACTACAAAGACACTCAGCCACCTTATATTTGACAAAGGGGCTAAACATGTTCACTGGAAAAAAGACAGCCTCTTTAATAAATGGTGTTAGAATGGCTTTCCACATGCCAAAGACTAAAAATAAACCCATGCCTATCACCATACACTAAAATCAAAATGGATCAAAGATCTAAACATTAAAACAGAAACACTAAACCTACTGGAGGACAAGGGAAGTAAAAATCTTGGAGACACAGGGGTAAGGAGAGAATTCATGAATAAAACGCAAGCTGCACGGGAAATACTTCAAAAAATCAACAACTAGGATCTCATATTACTAAAAAGTTTTTGCACTTCAAAAGAAATAAGCGACAAAGTGAAAAGAAAACCCATAGAATGGGAAAGAATTTTAGCCAGCAACCCCTCAGACAAAGGACTTATTATATCCAGAACATATAAAGAACTGAAAACATCAAGCCTCCCAAATCCAAACACCCTCTCCAAAAATGGGCACTGGAGATGAACACACAGTTCTCAGATGAAGATATATAAATGGCAAATCAATATATGAAGAAATGCTCACCAACACTGATCATTTGAGAAATGCAAATTAAAACAGCATTGAAATTTCATTTTACACAGAAAAGAATGGCTGCTATCAAGAAAACAACGGATAACACTTGTTGGTGAGGATGGGGGTGGGGGGTCGGGTGGAACACGCTTCTCCACTGTTGGTGAGAGTGTAGATTGGTGCAACCACTGTGGATATCAGTATGGAGATGCCTCAAAAAATTAGAATTGGAAGTTCCATTCAATCCAGCTATTCCCCTCCTGGGTATCTTCCCAGAAAAATTGTAAAGGTCATATCACAGTGATATATGTGCACCCATGTTCATAGCAGCCCAGTTTATGATAGCTAAGGAAGCAACCAAAATGCCCATCAACCTCAGAGTCGATGAAAAAAAATGTGTTATTTTTATATAATGGAATACTATTCTGCCATAAAAAAGGATGATCTTGAGGCCTTTATAGGTAAATGGAGGCAAACTGAAAATATCCCCATTAGTGAAATAAACAAGACTCACATTAGTAAATATCACATTGTGTCTCTAGTGTAAAAAATAGTAAGAATTGACAGAATAATAGGATCCAAAAAGTATCACAGATATTGTAAAAGTGAAAGGGAAGGAAAGTGCTCTAAAGGATATAACCATATGTATAGTGTGTAAGATAGATGACCATATTACTAAATTTCTGTTAGATCACTGAACAGAAGAGTTTTCACTGTCAATGTTTGAGCATCTAGCCACTTTTTATGCTTTGATTTTGTAAATTTAACAACTATTGTTAAGATGACAATATGCAATGTATCAACTAGCGATTTTATGATGTTAATTTTTTTTTAATTACGTACTTTATTTTTCTGGTTTTTTTTTTCTATTTTGTTTTTTTAAATTTTCTTTTCTTTTCTCTTTAAATAAAATTTTTAAAAAAATTTTAAATTTACATGGATAATACAAGACCCAAGAGTAGCCAAAATAACTATATAGAACAAAATTGGAAGCCTAACATTACCAGACTTTAAAGCATTAAAACTACAATAACCAAAGCAGTATGAGATTGGTATAAAATAAACAGGTCCAATAAGTACACACAGAATGCAGAATCTAGGAATGAAAGCATTTTTGATAAAGGTGCAGACAACCCAGTAAAGAAAGTACAGTTTTTTCAACAAATGGTATTAGCATAACTGAAATACCCACATGAAATCTACACTACATACAAATAAACAATAACTCAAATTTATCATGGACCTAAATATGAAATCTAAAACTACATTACTTCCAGAGGAAAAAAAAGGAGAAATTCTTTGTAACCTTAGGCTGGGCAAAGATTTCTGAGCTATAACACTAACAGCACAAAAGGGGAAAAACGCATTAATTACAGTTTATCCCAAGTAAAACCTCTGCTCCTCAAAAATATTCCACTGCAGTGATACACATCTATTCTTCCAGTAGCAGAATTCATCACAGCTAAATCTTGGAAGGGGTCCATATGTCCATCAGCAGATGAATGATAAAGTGTGATAGTTACACAATGCAGTAAGTACTATCATTCATTTTTTAATACTGGATTTTTGATGGATCTTTATACATTCTGGATACAAGTCCTTTATCAGCCATATGTGTTAAAAGTATTTTTCTCTTAATCTTTATCCCATTTTTCATTTTCATGGAGTTTTTTAATGATTAGTCACAGAAATTTATTATCAATCTCAAAGAATTACTGTCCTATGTTTTTCAGTGAATAAAGATAAACTTGAGCTGTTTGTACAAAAATCAATGCATTTTGAGACCATAATGATAAATGAAATAAATAAGACACACAAGCTTACATATCTATGGTCTCTCTTCTATGAGAAACCCAAAGTATAAGGAAAAAGCAAAATAAATACAATAGGAAGCAGCAAGATGGACCTTTCTCGTACTGGGAAGGGATTAAGAGATGGAGGACGGGGGGAAGGAAAAGGGATGAAAAAAGGAATTAAGAAGTGTTGTGTACATGTACCAATGCCACACAAGGGACGTAAACTTTATGTACTACAAACATATATTAATAAAAAAATCTGAAAAAAATCACTGAAAAAGATGTTTTCTCTATTCATCCAAATTTAATCTTTTAATTTTTTATAACTTTGAGGCATATTTTACATATCATATAATTCATGTATTTCAAGAGTATGTATAATTCAGTGATTTCTAGTAAATTTATGAAGTTGTAGACGTGTCATAAATGAGTTTTAGAAATCATATGCCTTTAGAAATCATATTCTTTGTTGTCTATTTACTGTTATTTGCTATTCCTACTACTCCATGGTCCAATGAATCACTAATCTACCCAGATCTGAACATTTGTCTGTTCTGGACATTTTCTACAGTAGGATCTTATAACATATGGTTATACAACCAGGCAAGCTACAGTTAAGGAGAAGACTGGAGAAAAGGAGGAGCTGGTCTGCCTTGCAGCCTGCTGTTGGCATTGGATATGAGACATAAGGTATCTAAGGAAACACCTGGTGAGAAAAGGGAATGCCCACTTGGAGCCATCGCTTCAAGGACTAAATCTACTTTCTGAGTTAAAAACATCAGCCCATGAACAGGATGCCCAGATCTAAATACAATGGGAAAGGTAACTAGGGAATTTAGCTTATAGACCGTAAGTCCCTGTATGTGCCCAGTGTTCTTCTGCAACCCTTGGCCTATCCCCAACCCTAATGACCAGGTCACTAACTATGCAGACTTGACCCACTATGGGCTTTGGTCTCTATGCCAGGAAAGTTCCTTTAAGTGTCATAAAAGGTCAAAACCTCCATCACCCCACAAAAGGGCAAAGTAAAGACACAGATAGGTAGGAGTTACACCTTAGACCAAATCTTCACTCCCATGCCAAACCTTAAAGTTCAAAACCCTCAACACCAAGCCCCCTCAATGTTGTAAGCTCTTCCTACTGGTGTGCTCGCACTCTGCAGAGTGTATATTCTTTTCACTTTCAAATAAATCACTGATCCTTTTCTACTCTACAATGTCCTACTCAATTGTTTTAGGACATCAAGAACCTAGCAAGATTCCCACCCAGTAAATTTCTTTTATCTGGCTCATTTCACTTCATATCTTCTTGAGAATGATCCACTTAGTACCATGTACTACTATGTATGATACTTCATTCCTTTTCATTGTTGAACAGTTTTCCTTTATGTGAATACACCAGGCAAGTGTCCTTAGATTTTTTTTTACTTAAATTTCTATTTTTCAGGTTGTGTACTCATAGGATAACTTCAGTACCTAGGCAGGGAGATGGGGATCCATAGCTAACTTGTATTCAACTCAAGTAACACAGGCATGAGTGTTTCTCCAACCCAATCCGCTATAAACAGAGTACAATTGACCTAGCTTCACTTAACAACCTCATAACATTAGCCCATTTAAAATGACTGATCTTCCCTCTTTCCTAACAAGGACAGAAGCAGTTTCTCAAGGATTCTTCCCTTCTAGTTCTCTTTCTGTGCCAGTGCTTCACTTCCTTTTTCTACTTCTAACTTCTTGTTTTCTCTTTAGGATCTTTCAAACTTTTCAAAATTTTCACATTCTCAAAGTTTCTGAAAAGACATACTAGAGGAAAACAGCCACATATTCTGAAATATTAAGAATCTGAGATTCTTTTGATGTGATCCCTGCAAACAGTTTTTTCTGCATAGAAATAGTTTTGTAGATGATTTTAAACCTCACTATATCAATATGAAAGAATCACGAAGCTCATTGAAAAGGGAATGTCAATCAGTATATAATAATCAAGTATAGTTTTCCATTATCTTTTCCCTTTAACATGACCTTGTTAAACACAAATTTTTCATTCAGTATTGTACAAAATGCACAGTATCATTATCATTTCATTTTTGTTTTATGTTAATGCCTAATTCAGATTAAGGGATAATTTATCTTTACAAATATTAAATATCCACATGTAGAATTACTCCCTAACCAACTGTAAAACTACTATATTTGATCACTGTTAATACCTGCAGTGGTAGTGCAGGAAGAGGGTGAAGGGAGAATGATACAAATCCAGCAACCTATGAAGTGTGATAAAAATATAGAGTCAATTTTTAAAATATATATTACAATAAAAGACACACTGCTACTACTCCTTAAAATATTACACCCACCTCTTTTTGAACACACTTATCCTACTGTTCTTGCCACTTTCTGTGGCAGCTCTGGAATCCTTCTCCATCAAATATATGGTAAATGCTGCTGCTAAGTGCCATCCAGTGGAAAGACAGGCTCATAAAACATTACAGTGTGTCCTCAACCACTTTATCCACTGGGACCGTGTGACTTCTAGCCTTTTCTCACAGTCAACATGACTGTGAAAGGTAAATATCTTGAATAGATGGAAGACACCAAGACAGTGATGCTAAAGAAACTCATGAGAAAGAACATCCCTAAGTGCTTTAGAAAGGGCCAAGAACAATGGGTAAGTGTGTCTACGTGTGTCTTTAGGGGGAGTACTCTGAGGGCAACTAATGAAGTGTATCTTTAGCTGTAATACAGTTTTTTTGGTTGTTATTGTTTGTTTGTTTCTGTTTCTGTCTTTTTGAGACAGGGTCTCACTATGCAGTTCAGGCTGGCCTTGAACTCATTTTGTAGCCGAGGCAACCAACAATCCTCCTGCCTCAGCCTCCTGAGTGCTGGGATTATAGGCGTGAGCCTCTGTCATACAGTTTTTAAAATTTAAATATTCACCATCCCTCAAACTTCTTTTTCCTAAAGTTTCTGAAGCCTTACTTCTGTAGGTGAGTTCCAGATAATTAATTTGGAAACAACAAAAATAAGATTATGTGCACAAAGCTAAAATCTTCCTATGGCAAACAGCAAAATTTTCTGATTAGGAAATTATTTTATCACCCCTTATTCACCCCCAATACAGTGCTGCTGGAGTACTTTTTAATACAGTGAAAGCAATAAAAGATGATATTATTTACATTTTATTGAAGTAACCTTTCAAGATAAGAAAATATAGGTAATTACTAGCAAAGCCACTTGTTAAATGTATCAAAAATTCTTTCTTAGTGGCTAGTTATTACAACTGGTATGTAATAGGCCCTGTGAGCTATGTTTATCTTTGAAAAGTCAACTAAGAAGGGGTTCTTAAAGTTTATTTCTGTTACAATTCTCACTCTAACTGGGCTGGTATACATACCATAAAACACAGCCTACAGACACACAGGTTATGCACTGTACATTTTTCAAAATCCAATAAATCATAATTATTTCAATTTACTTTAAGAAAGTAAATGTCATGATAATATGTATACTCTACCTTTCTCAGGCATTCATATTCCTCACGATGTTCCCCAGGCTTGCTCAATTTGATTGGTGCTCTGAATATAAACTCTAGAGGAAAAGGAAAATAATTTTTAACAAGACAATATAAAGCACCACGACCATGTCCTATTTACAACATCTTGATTTGAACATTCATTCACTCATTTAACAAGTATATCAGAAGTTACAAATCAGGCACTGTTCTAAGTACTGGAGGAAGTACTGAACAAAAGTAGTTCTTACTCTCCCAGAGCTTTATGATCTTAGGGAGGGAACAGACAACAACAAATGTTTATACATACTAAAAGTTATGGCAATAAAAAATGTAGGATGAAGGGAAAAACTTGTTTTATTTAAGGGAACCTTATTTTATATAGGGTGGGCTGGTAAGGGATCACTGATCAAGTAATATGCACATTAAAACACCCCAGGGAAAAACTATATTCAAAGCTCTTAATTCAATGATTCTAAGTAACATTTTAAATGAGCTCAAGTTTTAATCATAATACTATGTTTTTCTACTTTTCAACACTGCTAAAGCATTTTCCTGTATATAACCTGTGTATAATCTTGTATCTTGTATATGTTTTCAGTACATAACTTAATCTTTTTGACCCTAAAAACCTTCAGTGGTTTTGACTTATCTGCAGAGTAAACTCAAAATTCTTCAATATGACTTTCAAGGTCCTCCAGAAACTGACCATTTGAACTTTCCAAAACATTTTCTCTCTCCACCCTTAACTGTCTAGTTACAAAATACACATATGCCATATATTTTTAAATTTTCATGCTGTTTTCTCAGCCGACATTCTGTCTTCTCCCCTTCTTTCTATATATTTTTAAATCTACGATATCAGGTCTATTGAAAGCACAGAAGACATATTCATTATATAAATGATAAAAACTTAGAACAGGAATAAAAGTCTTAGATATCATTAGAAAGGAGAAAGTACACACTTCTGCTTCCCTAAACGTACATGACACTTCTTTATATCCTATCTATATATTTAGTAATCTAAATATAGTAGTAATAAGTTGAAAACTAACTGATAACTACAATCCCTTGAGGTTTGATACATTGTTCTAGAAAAGTATTTCAAAAGATGGTTTTTTGCTCTTTTTTCAGTTGTGTCAAATATTTTACAAAGATACAAGAATGTTGAAGATACTTGGATGCAGTAATTAATGTAGATACAAAAAAAATGCCCACTAACTTAAAACTCTACCAAGTACTAAAGAATTGTTAGATCCTGAGTTTGAAAGACAGTCTATGACCTTCACCCACATAAAAAAAATTACTCATAACTATTTTTGCCATATCCTTTAAGCACACTTCCAATTACAAATGAATAGTACTTAAAATTAGTGTAAAAAAAGGAGAGGGGGATAGAATCCTAAAGCAAAAAAAGTACTTTGAATGCATTTACTGAAAACCTATTATATGCAAGATTCTTTACATACATTTTCTCAATGAACTTTTGCAGAAACTTTATAAGGTAAGTACTATACTTGTACCCATTTTGCAATAAGGAAACTGAGAGGTTAAATGACTTGTTCAAGGTTACAAAACTAGTGCTTGGCAAAATAAGGAGAAAAGCTCTGATCGGAATAAAGAAAATTATACAATGATTTTTAAAAAGGCAACCAACTGGAGTTCAGCCAAATCTATCTCCCTTACTACAAACTCCCACTGCAGTAACTTCCCTTGAAAGTCCGCCTTACTATAGTTTTTTAAAAAAAATCATTCACTTGTATGAACCTATATTACAGTAAAACAATTATAGGGAGAAATTAATCCTAAATTACAGCAAGAAATTTTAACATACAACTTTAAAAGATTAGGCAAACAAAAAGGCAGTGAATATATAGAAAATGTTCATAATAAAATTAGTTTTTTTTTGAGACAGGATAATGTAGTCCAGGTTGGCCATGAACTCATGGCAATCCTCTTGCCTCAGCCTCCTGGGTGCTGGGATTACAGACATATACCACTATGCCTAAAATTATTAATCATATATATCTATAGATGTATGCACCCCATGAGTAGAATACACATTCCCTAAAGCAAACAAGGAGTAATTTAAAACCAAATAGGTCTCAAGTTGTTCAAAGAACTGATATTACCCCAACTTTGCTCTTGATTAGGGCCACTGTTTTGTAAGCCTAATTTTCTACTTGTCTAGTGACTGTGTTACCCATATTCTTCCTTAATAAATTACTTTTCTGGTCAAACTTGGCATGGTAGATCTGTTTATTGAAAGTAACAATCTTGTTGATTCAGTTTTTTATGTTGTACTTTGAAATGACCAGTAAACCAATACATAGTAAAACTGGTTAAGAAAAAGAGAGAGTCAGAGTCAGAGGGAGGGAGGGAGGGAGAGACAGGGTGAGGGGAGAAAGAGAGAATAAAATGATACACATAATGAAAAGGAGAATGTATAGATATCAGATATGCATTCAAATCTCTAGAGAGTACTAAAACAACCAACTGGTGTTCAGCCAATAGTGGTTGATATATATATATATATATATATATATATAAAATCACTTTTTATATCTGCAAGTATATCCTATGTCCACAGGATAAATTGCTGAAATCAGAATTATTGGCTCAAAGACTACTACAATGCTTTTTTTTTTTATTTAAGAGGAAAAAGAGAAAAACACAAAACAAAACAAAGCAGTGTAAGGTTACATATAATACAGAACTACAAAAAAAAAACATAACAGTAAGAAATCACCTGTTAATAGATTACATATTATCATCTTGGAAATAGTTGCTCAAATCACAGTATCAAAGAATACAAAGTAGACATTCAAACAGAGAGACTGCAAACAGCTGTGTTCAATGATCCAAAAACATTAATATAGTCAGCTATTCAACACCCCTATACACACTTGCTGTTATATCCGTTAGAGCTCTTTTTTTTTCCCTTCCTCTCTTTTTACAACAAAATTTACACATTTAGGATTTTATTACTCCTTAGTTCTTATTACTTTTTTGGGGGGGGAATAAAGTCAAGTATGGCAGAACAAAGCTGTCAGTCAAAACCAAGGATAGACATAGCACATGATGTAGAACAGAGTACACGGTTATTAACAACGGTTATCAACGTTGTCTCTTGTTTCCTTAAAAAGATTTGTCTATCTCATTAGATATTATAAAGTTGGACAAAACAGTAGAGAACAAGACCAATAAAACTTAAGACATTGTAAACATTACAGGACTTCCAAAGGAGACAATAGTCAAACCAGAATGGGCATCTTAGTGAATCTTATTGCCTTCAAAGTAGTTGCCTATACCCTCAGACTTGATACTATCACACAGAATGGAACAGAGTCTAATCAGTCAAAACAAGATCATGGGAGTATTACAGGACTTCAAAACAAGTTAATAGGAAATCGAAAAGAGTTACTATTATATATCCTAATTTTTTTAATTTTTCCCTTAATTAAAATAAACATAAGAAATAACTAAATAATTTTTTTAAAGAATACTAGTTGCCATAGTGTCTGTCTTTTTCCTTGAAATATTTGGATAAAACTTCATATACTATAGCTTCAAATATTTCCATATCAAGAAGCCCAGAATAAAGCCTTTCTAATTAATAAGTGAAAATTTTATAAGGCTTCAAAGGCCACATAATGGGGAATCATGATTGCCACATATTTTCAGATATTTGAATCATTACTTACATTAGGGAAACTATTCGGTATTCATACATGCGAGATTGATTTATTTCACTTATGAGTATGGTCTCAAGCTGCGCCCATTTATTGATAAATATCTCAATGTGATCCTTCTTTATAGCTGAATAATACTCCATTGTATAGAAATACCACAACTTTTTTATCCATTCCTCAGTTGATGGACACTTGGGTTGTTTCCAAGATCTGGCGATTACAAATTGTGCTGCTATAAACATAGGTGCACATAAATCACTGTGGTATGATGCTTTCAGTTCTTCTGGGAATATGCCTAGAAGTGGAATAGCTGGAATAAATGGGATTTCCAATCCCAACTTTTTGAGAAACCTCCAGACAGACCTCCACAAAGGCTGTACCAGTCTACACTCCCACCAACAGTGCAGGAGAGTTCCTTTTTCCCCACAGCCTCTCCAGCATTTGTTGTTGTTGGTTTTCTTGATCCTGGCCATTCTTTCAGGAGTGAGATGGTATCTCAGTGTGGTTTTAATTTGCATTTCTCTAATGACCAAGGATGATGAGCATTTTTTCATGTATTTATTTGCCATTTGCATTTCTTCATCTGAGAATTGCGTATTCATCTCAGATGCCCATTTTTGGATTGGATCTTTGAATTTTGGAGGTCTGAGTTTTTTTAATTCTTTATATGTTTTAGACAAGAGTCTCTTGTCTGAGAGAGAGTTCACTAAAATCTTTTCCCAGTTTGTGGGTTTTCTTTTCACTATGCTGGAGATTTCTTTTGACATGCAGAAACTTTTTCATAAGAAGTGGTCCCAGTTATTGATCCTGGTAAGTATTTCCTGTGCGGTTTGAGTCCTGTTCATGAATTCTCTACCTACTCCTATGTCTCCAAGGTTTCTACCTAATTTGTCTTCCAATAGATTTAGTGTTTGTTTTAATATTCAGATCTTTGACCCATTTAGATTTTAATTTAGTACATGGTGATAGACATGGGTCTAGCTTTAGTTTTCGGCAAATGGAGAGCCAGTTTTTCCAGCACCATTTATTAAAGAGATTGTCGTTCTTCCAGTGAATCTGCTTGGCTCCTTTATCAAAGATAAGGTGGTTGAGTGTGTTTGTAGTTGTGGTTGTATCTTCTAATCTATTCCATTGATCTTCGCCTCTGTTTTGATTCCAGTACCATGTTGATTTTACTACTGTTGCTTTGTAGTATAATTTCAAGTCAGGGATTGTGATGCCTCCTGCTTTGCCTTTGCTGCTTAGAATTGCCTTTGCGATTCTAGGTCTCTTCTGGTTCCAGATGAAATTTAGGAGTGATTTCTCTAGATCTATAAGGTATGTTGATGGTATTTCTATTGGGATTGCATTGAATCTGTATAAGAGTTTTGGGAGAATGGCCATCT